CAGACAGACAGACAGACAGACAGACAGACAGACAGACAGACAGACAGACAGACAGGCAGATAGACAGACAGACCGACAGAGACGCAGAGAGAGAGAAAGTTGAGTATACTATTATGGTGTGGAGCGGATACAAGTGCAGTGCAATGTGAGAAATGAGTTTGTTCGTATGTCGTAATGTGTTGTGTATCAGGTTTCTCTCTGTCTCCCTCTCTCTCTCTCTCTCTCTCTCTCTCTCTCTCTCTCTCTCTCTTTCTCTTTTTCCTTCTCTCTCTCTTTCAGTCTCTCTCTCTTTCTCTCCCCCCTTCTCTCTCCCTGTCTCTGTCTCCCTCTCTTTCTCTTTCTCTCTCTCCTCCTCTCTCTCTCTTTCTCTCTCTCTCTCTTTTTTTTTTTTTAAACTTCCATTCTGCTTTTTCGTAAAACTTCTCCCCACTTGAGCCTTCCATTTGGAATTTTCTTGACCTGCTACACACTCCGAGGTGTCCTCCCTGCGTGGGGCCACATGTGGGTCGCCGTGACGTCACGCACCAAAGATGTTTTTAACTTATTTTAAGAATGGGGAGAGAGGACGGGGTTGGGGGGGGGGTCGCTCAAGTAGACATTTACCGTTTCAGTGACGTTGCCTGCTAGTAGCCTACCCGTACCTTGCTTTTTCCTCTGTGTTTCTTGCTCTTTGCTGCCTTTTCCAACTTCTCAAGGTGCAATTTCCCAAAACTTCTTGAAAGGAATTTTGCTTGCTTTTTTGTTTCTCCTTGACACCGTGTTTGACATTCTGAGTGATACGCAAAACGAGCAGGAAGGAAAACAAACACAACAACAGAGATTGATAACGTCAGGATTGTGTCTAATTACCTTTGTCTGCTTTTCACCTGGAATTGGTGAAGTAACTGGTTTAAATTACGCTGATTGGGTATGTGGGTAAGGGATGGAGCTAGTGCGACCACACACAGACAGACAAACAGACAGACAGACAGACAGACAGACAGAAAGACAGACAGACAGACTGACAGACAAATTAACTAACAGATTGACTGACAGACAGACACAGACAGAAAGACAGACACAGACAGATAGACAGAGAGACAAACAGGCAGACAAACAGACAGACAGTCAGCCACACTCACATACACACACACTCACACTCACACACACAAACGCGCGCGCGCATGTACATAGACACATGTATACAAACGCACACACACAGACTCACAGACAGACAGACACACATACTTACAAACCCACACACAGACACCACAGACACCACACACACACA